AAAGGTAAGCCACGCAACCCAATACTCAGCTTTTACCCTCAACCACAACCCTACCTCAACCGATCCACCATCACCCAAGACTAGGCACGCACGCCCCCAACTACCTCAATTCCAACTACTGCCGGCCTTAAATGCAAACTACTCAATGCAAGAAGCCTCGTGAATAAAATACCTGAATTTCTCATCCTCCTAAATATGGCTAACTTCGACATTATATTTGTCTGTGAAACATGGCTCAATGCATCTCTCCCCGACTCCATTACCACAGTAAGAGACTATCATGTTTACCGATCAGATCGTGAAAATCGACGAGGAGGTGGTGTTGCTATATTCTATAAAAAATCCTTACATCTAAAAAATATCCAAGTTACCCAGGAGCTTGCTCTTCCTGAGACCATCATCTGTGAACTATCCTTAAATATCACAATTCGATTCTTACTATGTTACAGAGCACCTGATTATGACATCGAACATGTAAACAAGCTAAATACATTACTAACATGGGCTGCATCCTGCCCATACCCTTTTATCTTTCTTGGTGATTTCAATCTACCTCATATTGACTGGACCCTAAATGATTGTACAACTGAAATCATACACACAACATTCTACAATGCTATTACAAATCTGGGACTGGAACAATTAGTAACCAACAACACTAGACTAAACAACTGCCTCGATCTCATCTTCTGCAATAGTTTGAATTTAATTTACGGAATACAAACTAAAGAACCCTTTTCCAGTAGTGACCACAATATGATTGACTTTTGTCTCAACATACGTCCACACAAAAATCACCACAATGATGTAATCCCCAATTGTAACTTCAAAAAAGGCAACTATGATCTTATAGACAACGATCTCTCATCCCTGGATTGGCAATCTCTATTCACCGGATGCAATACTGTTGAAGACCATTACAACATATTTTTACTTGAAGTCAAAAGAGTCATCAAACTATATGTACCAACAACAACTCCCAAAACAAAACAAAAAAGCAGATTACCCATATCAATAAGGAAACTTCAATCCAAAAAGAGATCACTCTGGCGGAAAAACAAATCTGGTCACGTTGCCAATTTCAAAAACCGATACAAAAATTTATGCCACCAGATAAAGACCGAATGCACCAATTATCACATTAAACAAGAGGAAAACCTTCTAAGCACCAATTCCACCCGTGCTTTTTACAATTTTGTAAACAACAAACTAAAAAACTCAAGGTCCATCCCTCCCTTGATAGGACCTGATGGTAAAGACTGCAACGACGACACCATTAAAGCCAACATCTTTAACACATTCTTCGGCTCAGTATTTGTAAACAGCAATGGTTCATGCCCAGTATTTCCTAGCCGTACCACAGATAACAATAATGATCTAATACATATCGATTTCACAGAAGACAATGTTGAAAAATCACTACGCAATCTAAAACCATCTCTATCTATTGGACCGGATGGAATATGTGCCTACTTCTTAAGAAAGCTGTCCACTGCCATAGCCAAACCTCTAAGCATAATCTTTGAAAAATCTTTCAGGACCAGCTCCTTGCCTAACCTATGGTCACAAGCCACAGTCATCCCCATCTTCAAAAAGGGAGACCCAAGCCTAGTTGAAAATTACAGGCCAATCTCCTTATGCTGCGTCACCTGTAAAGTCATGGAATCAATTATTAACCAATCCATCATCCTCCACTTAGAGACAAATAACCTACTCTCCAATAAACAATTTGGTTTCAGAAAAAAACTATCCTGTAATCTACAACTCTTACACTGCAAAAACATATGGACGACACAACTCGACCAGGGCAAAGCAATAGACGCAATCTACATAGACTTCTGTAAAGCCTTTGATTCAGTGGTACACGACAAACTACTCCTAAAAATAAAATCCTATGGTATCTCTGGACAACTGAATAACTGGATAGAAGCATTCCTGTCAAACAGACAACAAATGGTCAAAATCGGGAGCGTCCTATCAAATCCAGTACCTGTCAATAGTGGTGTCCCCCAAGGCAGTGTTCTAGGACCAACTCTCTTCATACTCTACATAAACGACCTCTGTGATCATATTAAGAGCAATTGCGTTCTCTTCGCTGATGATGTAAAGCTGTTCAATACCACAGACAATACTGCTACCCTACAAAAAGATCTTGACTATGTATCAGAATGGTCAAACAAATGGCAACTTCAAATCTCAACAAATAAATGCTCTGTCTTACATATTGGCAAAAAAAATCAGAAAATAAAATACAAGCTGAATAGTCAAGATCTTGTTGATGACCCAAGCTCTGTAAAGGACCTTGGAATACTCACCTCTAATGATCTAAGTGCTAGAGCCCACTGCAACTACATAGCCAAAAAGGCATTAAGAGTTGTTAACCTAATCCTACGTAGCTTTTTCTCTGGTAATATCACACTACTAACCAGAGCATACAAAACATTTGCTAGACCAATACTCGAATACAGTTCATCAGTCTGGAACCCACATTACGTATCTGATATTAGCACAATTGAGAAAGTCCAGAAATATTTCACAAGAAGAGTTCTCCACTCCTCTACTCGTTGTAGAATACCTTATGCCACCAGACTTGAAATTCTAGAACTAGAAAACCTTGAATTACGCCGTCTTCGGTCTGACTTAAGCATGGTATATAAAATCATACATTGCAATGTCCTACCTGTCAATGAATACTTCAGCTTCAACCATAACAACACAAGAGCACACAATAGATACAAACTCAAAGTAAACCGCACCAAACTTGATTGCAGGAAATACGACTTCAGCAATAGAGTGGTCAATGTCTGGAATACTCTACCCGACTCTGTAGTTTCTTCCCCAAACCCCAAAAACTTTAACCTTAGACTGTCTACTATTGACCTCACCCCTTTCCTAAGAGGTCTGTAGGGGGCGTGCATAAGCGCACCAACGTGCCTACCGTCCCTGTCCTATTGTTTCTCTTATTCTTTTATTTTTCTTATATGTACCCATTTCATGTATTCACAACTATGTATACACTTATACTTATTATCTTGTAAACAATTGGCAAATCAAATAAATAAATAAAAAATAAATAAATAAATAAATAAATAAAAATAAATAAAATAAATTTAAGTTAATATGATTATTTCGTAAAACATGAATGAATAAAAGTATAGTCAAATGATTAACAATGATATTAATGTATTTAATACTTGATTGAAAATATGAGAATATATACAATGTAATTGTAATTGAAGACTATGAAATGGAAGCACAAAACAATTTGTAAACCAACCGGCATACTGTATGTATATATAGGGAAGAGGGCTTGATATTTTTATGTTTTGTTTGTCTATGTTCGTTTTAAAAACCAATTAAAAAAATTTAAAAAAAGAAAAAGAAAGTGCAGACGCTGTTGGGCCTTCTTTGCAGTGGCTATAATGTGGACCAACCAAGTAAGGTTGTTGGAGATATGAGTTCCTAGAAATTTAAAACTATGAGTTTTATAAGTCAAGGATTACCTGTAGTTGATTTTATCCTTTTACTTTCTTTCATAAAGCATTGTTGGAAAACATTGCGTGGTTTATTTCTCCTTCCAAAAAAAGCTCAGTTTCCAGACAAACTTAATAATATTTAGTAGTATCTAGGATAATCAAAATAAAATGCTATTCCACTGATTTCTCATTATCGTTATTCAGATCACATATACCTCAAGAGCCACCACTTTATACTCTGTAAAATATAAAATACATATAAGTGCTTTCCTGTAACTTAAATCCATCATTTCAAAACCTGCGGAGAGGAGGTTCTGTTCTTCTTCAATGAGACATCATTGTAGGATTTGTAGAACACCATCATATTCTCCTATCAATCTATTGAAGGCTAAATATGCACAGCATCTTCACTCCCTCAACGTAAGACTTGCTTTCCTGCCCCTTAATCTTCCTTTTCTGACCCTGTTCCAAAGCATAAAATCCAGAACAAATCCTATACACTTCCTTTATATTAATTTAATTAGTGATATAAATGTATTATTTTAACTAATTGGGTGCATGTATTGGCCTGGCACTGCATACAGAACACTGTTCCTGTACTCCTTATGTACACAGCCAATGTGTACTTCTTCTGACTGATTGCAATTTGGCAATTCAAATCTCACCAGACTCAAGGTTGACTCAGCCTTCCATCCTTCCAAGGTGGGTAAAATGAGGACTCAGATTGTTGGGGGCAATATGCTGACTGTGTAAAACCGCTTAGAGAGGGCTGTAAAGCACTGTGAAGTGGTATATAAGTCTAAGTGCTATTAAGGCAATTAGAATGTTGCAAAAATTGAGGCAACTGCTAGATGAAGCAAAGAGATATAGAAAACCCTCAACTTTTTACTGCTCTCTAGTCATCCCCTGCATTTTTACAATCCAGGTTTCACACCTTTGTCAGCAGCCTAAATATGATTACACCCTGGACAACTTCCTCAAATGATTCTTTCTGTGGACAAAACATCATCAGAACTCAATACCCTTAACTTGCCCTGCAAGGTAATTACCACTGTACGTCAGGAGAACACTTCAAAGACTACATGAGAAGAGGGCATGCTCATATGCAGCAACAAGCTGAACTTGTATCCTGGCTGAGGAATCCTAAGTGCTATACATGCAAAGCTTTTAAAAAAAACAACAGCACCCCTGAATATGAAGATCTGATTTACAGACTATTCTAAAGTGATGGCTTATCCCAAGTAGTTGGTAAACATGGCTAATAGCTTAGCTTGCTGTACAAACTGGCTCCCAGAAATGAAGCAAACTTAATATTTTGCATTGTTAAAAAAAAAAAAAAGGCAAGAATGTTGCAAAAGTCCTACAGCCGTGCTAAAATTAAATCGGGGAAATGGTCAGTCACATGCAATCACAGGAAGCTCCCAAGAACTTGCCTGAGTTTCCCAAACCAAGTGCTGGAGAGCAAAAGCCAAGCCAATTCCAAACTGAGGCGGGAGAGAATCGGGTGGAAAGCATTTACATTACCGTTCGGAGGAAAATCTTCCCAAGCAGGCATTCAAGGCTGGCCAGCCTTGGTTTCCAAAGTGAACGGGCTCCTCTCCTTTTCTCTTGGTCCACCGGAGCGAAGACACAGGCAGATGGAAAGTTGTCTGCTTCTCTGAAAAGTGAACTCGCGGGCCGAGGCGGGTTCCAACCTGGCTGCGGTCGCGCCGAGAGAGGGAGCAAGCTGGGCGTTCCCCCCTCCTCCCCACCTGGCCTGGCAGCGCGCGCGCGCGCACGTGGCCGGTTCCCCCCTCCTGCCTTTTCGCCCGCGTCGGTGCCTCCGAGAAAGGAAGCGCGAAGGAACAGTTTGCGGCTGCAAGTGAAGGTTCCGTGACGCGGGCGGCGGCGGCGGCGGAGGAGGAGGCGCGGCAGTAGCGCCTCCATACCCAAAAGGGAGGAGCGCAAACTGCAGCGGCACATTTTCCCACTCCGTCCCGGGCCGTCTCCGGCAGCAGCCTGAGAACAGCGTGACGGTTTTGCCCGCCAGCGCTCCTTCGAGCTGAGGGATCTCGTCTGCCTTTAGCGTCGCCTCTACTCTGGCTTTGTCTCGGAAGCAGAGAGGAAAAGTCCAGCTCCTGCGGCCGGCGGTCCTCTAATCCCCGGCCCGCAGACCTTCCTGATCCGATTCGCTTCTTCGGGGAAAGCCAAGCCTCCGCCCCGCGTTCATCCCGCAGTACAACAGGCATATATACACAGCTTTACAGCCCCGGTATCAACCAAAGCGCCTCTAGTAAAGCGCCTCACTCGCGATCGAATGGACCTAAATGTAGAGTATCCGTTTTTCTGGGCAGCGAGCTGGTTCTGGCAGCGAGTTTTGTCCCCAACACGCCTTTCCCCACAGACAAATGAGGGAAACCCTGATGAACCTCGTTCCTGGGATACTTTCAGCCTCTTAAAAAAAATAGCTGTGCCCTGATCACTTGACCTGGAAGGAAATGGAAGGGGGCTTAGTAGAATGAAGAGGTTAGCCACTTTCTCAGCAGTTGCCCAATTGCTCCTTCCATAAGGATTCATTAATGGGTTTTTCTCGATTATCTTTACTGCAGGACCAAGCTGGATCCAGCTCATTTTATTAACTTTATCTTTCTTTTATCAGTTTTTCCTCTCTGGTATAGTTTGGTTCAGACTTGGGAGAATCCCAGTTTCTTCACGGAATCTCTTTCCAACATTACATTTACAATTTAAATGAAATTTAAATTTAAAATGAAATGGACAATTTCAGTTTTGTAATAGTTCTCACATTTCAACATACCTTTGGGACTTGGAGTATTACCAAGACCCAGAGAGACTGCCTTCCTATACTGTATTCAGCTACTTAAAGTAATTCCTTGGAGGTCACATCCAACATCAAAATAATTTGTTATAGCTCTAAGATATTCTGGGAAGTGAGCAGAAGGTTAGCTTGAACAGCAGAGAAACTGGGCTTCTCATCTGCGCAAGCTAGAAAATTGCACACTGTTAGGTGCCAAAATTTAGGATATCTATTAATTGCCACTCCTTTTTTCCTGGAGAGCCTAGAGAAAGAATATAGAAAAGAAAGAACTGTTTGGAACTGCACAGTCTTCTGGGGACATACAGGAGTGAACAAAGAAGTAAATTCTATGATCATCTCCAAGTATGTTTTAAGTTTGGGTTCCTGCCCAAGGAAGATTCCAACCACACCTGCAATGAATGCAATGAGTGCAAACTCATTGCATTGCAGCAAGGCCTGAAAGTATGTTTGGCAATATTGAGACTCATCAAGGGAGATGATGAGCTTCTGGATTGATGGCAGAGAACTTAAACAGTCAAAGGACAGTCTGTCCCAGTCTTTGTAAGGAAGCAGCACAATCAGTTTCAGGACCTTCCCTGGAGGGTAACTCACTGCTGAGAGGCTGTATATTGTTGCCCAGGTACAAATATCTGTGATGTGATAGAGAGCTGGCTTGATTAAACAGATCTAATTACCTTTATCCTTTTCTTTTTTGATGTTGGAACAAAGATTACTTAAAACAACAACAACTGAAAAGCATATTGAAGGACTACAAATAGAAGCCAGAAAGACAAAACAGTTTGGTGTACAGATGATGTTTTTGTCCATGCTTCCAACTAAAAACCATAGCCCAAGAAAGGTACAGAAGATTTTGAATTGTGTAACTCAGAAGATGTTGAATTCCTGTACCATGGTTTGCACAGCATCTACAGAAAAGCTTTTGGTAAAAGATGGGCTGTACCTCACACAAGATATGGAAGCCTGCATTTTGAAATACAAAATCACCTGTATTGCACTTAACACTTACCAATAGGAAGAAATGGCTGAGGAAGTGGAAATTATAGGAAGCTTAGAAAATAGTGATCATGTGATTCTAGAATTCACCATATTGAGGGCAGGAAGAACTGAAAGTAGTTAGATTGGTATTCTAGATTTCAAGAAAGCTGACTTCAGTAAGCTAAGTAGGAAAAATTACAAAGGTGGACTTCCTGAAGGAAAAAAAAGTTCAAGAAGGTTGAGAAATTCTGAAAAATAAATCAACTGCAAAAAAGTTGAGACAAACGACGTGACCAGTATGGATGCATAAAGACTTTTCTGATGACCTTACAAACAAAAAGGATAAATTTCAAGTGTCGAAAGAGGGGCATATGACAAAAGCCCAATCTCAGGAAATGGCCCAAATCTGCAAAGATGGAATCAGGAATGAGCTGAGTGTTGCAGTGAACATAAAAATAACAAAAGGAAAAAGGCTTATGAATGTGCAGAATAAAAAGTCATTCTACTGGTTGGGAAACACGGCAAGGAGTGATAGCTCACAGGCAGAAGGTTGAACTGTTTAATTTCTATCTTCATCTTTCTTTTCACAAAAAGAAAAAGTGGTCCAACCTGTCAGAAGATGTACCATAGGGGATAGAAGTCAAAAGTTGTAAGAATAACAGCTCGCTATTTTTAATGAATTCAAGTCATTGGAACCTGCTGGGAACGCAGAATACAGAGAAGTCAGACTTTGGAGAAAAGTTAACATTGTTCCAATCTTACAAAGGGGGAAGGAAGGCGGAGCCAGAACAATATACCAGTCATCTTGCTTGACATCAGTTCCCTGGGGAAAATCCTAGAATAGATCAAGCTGTGGGTTTGCCAGTGTTTAAAGGAACAAGTGATTACTAGAAACAAGCATGGAATTGTGTAAGTTGTGCTAGACTTAAACTTACTTTTTTTTTTTGACAGAGACTAAATTAGTAGAGCAAGGAAATGCTTTGGAAGGAGTATACCTGGAGTTCAGAAAGGCATCTGATTAAGTTTATAATAGCTGCCTTCTTGATAAAATGGGACCTTGTGAGAGAGATGGTCTCCTACCACATTAAGTATGAACCACCATACTTAACATGTATCCTTAATATATCCGTGTCCACATGGAAAATTCTTTGTAGTGAAATACCTCTGGGTTCTGTCTTCAGCCTAGTGTTTGTGAAGTAATCGAGACAGGAAAAAGACTCAGATAACTAATTCTACTTTATGTAAGGTTATGTAAGGTTTATATAAGGTTATATGTAAGGTTATATTCACAGAATCTTGCAAATCTGAAAGTACATTTCTTCCATTGCTTTTATAAGCCTGAGAAACCAGGGAGAGTCCTTCTTGAGATGTCAGGCATGCCCACATTCCTGCTGCAGGCTAAGCTGCCTCTTCCAACCACTCCCCTGGCTCTCCCTTTTCTCCTAAGGTCATTCCCAGAGACTATTATAGTGCTCTTCAGCATTTTTTATAAATGACATAGGCAAGAGAAAGAAGGGATGGTCAGCAAATTTATAGACAACCCCAAGCGGGGATTTTTAACACTTTTAGAGAAAAGGCTCATGTTAAAAAGGATCTCGATAGACTTGAACCCTGGACCTTTCCCAACAAAATGCAATTCAATGGTGAGAATTATGGGTTCTGTAATGAGGCAGAGAAAAAAATCAGACGTACAAGATAGATATTTAAGTGGCTCAGTAGTAGTACTTGTGAGAAGGATGATCCCCCAAGGTGCTGCCGCCACCAAAAGAGCCAATGTAACCTTAAATTGCATCAACAGAAGCATAATGTTGAGAGCATGTAAAATGATATTTCTGCTCTAAGCTTCACTGCAACTAAGTATATTGGTCACAACAATATAAGGATACAGAGGGGCTAAGAGAAGAACACCAAAGATGGTGAGGGGTTCAGAGGCTAAATCTTATCAAGAGCAGTTAAAAGAACTGGATATGTTTAACTGAAAGAAGAGAAGACTGAAGGGAGACATGATAGCAGTGCTCCAATGTTTAAAGGGCTCTCACAAGGAAAGGGGGTGTGGATTTATTCTCTGTAAGGCCCAACTGAAGGCAATGAATGGAAGCTTTATGGACAGAGCTCCAAACTCAAAATAAGGAGTAATTTTTTAATCATGAGAGCTACTAAAAAGCAGAGCAGACTACTCTCTATGATAATCATCATGGAGATTTTCAAGAAGAGATTGGACAGCCATTTATCTAGGATGGTTTGAGGATTTCTGTCCAAGCAATGAGTTGGACCAAAAGACTTTGAAGATCCCTTTCAAATCTATGATTCTATGACTTCTAACTAAATTACAACAGGAAAGGGTGGAACTTTTAATAAAGTATCAGGCATTGTTAGCAATGGGAGGTGCTTTTAAAGAAGTTAAATAAAGAATTTGTAATCTTTTTTATACAAACTTTAACTTGTCCCCTGGGAAGCTCTTATTTGTATTTAGTCAGAATGGTTGTTTACAATTCCATCAGTTGTTCACTGAAAAATTTCCAGCATTGTCAAAATACATTTTGAAAAGCTGAAGTGTCTGTTTATCTGTAATAAAGCACAAAACTGCCAGGAAGATGTCGTAAATTGTGAAAAAGGGAATTAGTGACAATGTTTTCTTCTATGTTGCAATCAAGAAGTTCCCCATATTTGTTTTTATTGTTATGTGACCCAAATCTGTAAATAGTATATGTGCTGTTCACAGATTTAAGTTCTTATTTTTGCTAACTTTACAACTTTTTAAAAGAAGGAAAATAATGCATGTCTTAGGCAAAGATGCGGAAAATATTTTTGTGGGATTTGAAGGAGCCAGTGCAAAGATGTTATATAGGAGACAATTTTGAGAAGTACAAAAATGTTCTCAATTGTGGCTTCAGGCTATAAAAGCTGTTCTCCAGGTCAGACTAAACACTGATGCTAGAAGTAGTAATTCACCCATATTTTGGAATCGCCTGATCTCCAGATCCATTCTTCCCAGAAATCAGATTCTGACAGATAGCTAAACTCACAACTATAACCATCTATCAGAACCTGCCTAGATTTGAAAACAGAGACATTTTTGTTGGGAATTTTACCAAACAGGTATAACAAAAGGAATGCATATCTGATTTTACATGTATTGACTGCAGCAAGAATAGCATTTGCACAACAATGGAAAAGTGAAGAGATCCCAACAGATGAAGATGTGATTAGAAAAATATTAGAATGTGTAGTAATGGATAAGCTAACCCTTACAATTAAGGAAAAGACAGAAACTGAATATTTTTTTACTTGGGATTTATTTTATCAATGGTTAGCTGACAAAAACAGGAGCTAGAAATAGGGAAATATATGAAAGGATTAATGATATAAGGAAGATACGTTAAATCTGTTAAACAAATAGCATGGTTATTATTGTTATTAATACTAATATAATTGATACTAATGCAATGAATACTGTTGTAAATATAGTCATTATTTCCTAAAATGATTTGTACCCAAATAACACACTGTTCAATTGAAATTGAAATTTTTGTATGCTATAAAATAAAATAAAAACCTATTAAAAAAAAGAACCTGCCTGATCTCCCAGCCTTGCCTTACATTAGAAAGAATTATGATGGACATTTTCTCTTTTGCAAAAAAATCCACCATTCCCTGTTAACCTGCAGTTTATAAGAGCAGTAGTCACCAACTTTGTTAACGAGGCAGGATTGAGTTTGACAAAAGACAAGCAATTTTATCCTGATGTTTCTGTTCTGCCTTAAGATCTAGTGGTCAAGACATTACACGTTTTATAGATGTGCCTTAGATGGCACCTTTACTTCCAAATGGAAGGGTCACGTTTGGAATGGCAGGACATCTCATAGTTCTCATAGCAAGAAGATATGTTGCATCAAAAATTGAATCTCTAATGGGACAAAAACAATTTTGTTTTCTGTCCCATACTGGGTTATTATATGTTAAAATTTAATAAAAATGTCACCAATCCTGCTACTATTTTTTTTTTGTTATTATTAGCCTTTTTCTTACAAACATACTAACATTAGATTTGCCTTCTGTTTTGTTGTCTTTAAAAAACAGACTGAATAGAATATATGTTATGCTTTATAGTGGTTTTCATTGTTTTTAAGTTTAACTGACTTAGAATGCATGCCATAGTCATATAATTTGTTCTAGAATAAATTAATAGCACATCCAAAATGACTAAATGCTTTTATCAAATACTGAAATTAATATTTGTGTTATATCCCAAAGCCTCAAATGAATGTATTCCATAGGAAGTTTTGAAAAGAAGGATCAGAGTTATATCAGGTATTCTTAAAAATATCTGTTTTTCTTTTAAACATATCATTAGATGAGCTACAGTGAAAACAATATGTAACTAATAAGGCTGTGTAACATTTCAGATTCAGTCTTAAAAAGAGGTTTCAGAGCAAAAACATAGCACCTGCCCATCACATCTTAAATTATTTCTCCAGAATGTCACACCCATATTTACTCAGTTAACTCAGATTTTACTGGAAATATATCTCAATTATTAAAATAAGTCTTAATCTCATGCTAGCATAGCTTGAGTGTTGGAATAAATCTGCTCAAAGCTTATTTACATCCCATATTTTCCTAAATATATTTATTTATTTAACATATGGATTCCTAAATATAAATATGGCAATATTTTTTTTCTTTAAATTTAATTATTTTAAAAAATGTAGTGTATTATTTTTTCAGCATCAAAGTATTATATACTACCAGCTCCTATAACTTTTACTAAATAGTGATATTTGTAAGGACATAAATCCAAGTAGTGCTCATAACAGAGTAGGATTTAAAAGACACTATAATTCTCCAGTAAGATCCATCAAATTTACAAAATAAAAGTGTACTTACTTGAAAACAAATGCCATTCAAATCACTGCTCTTTTCTCAAAATAACATATTTATTTTATTTATTTCCAATATCCATATCCTGTTCAAATTGAATGGACTCTGGGTACGTTATAAGATGATTCATACAATATAAAAACCAAAAGAAAAAAAATAAACATGTCAGAAGAATCTTCTGATTCTTCTGAATTGTGAGCCATCCAGAATCATTTTCTGAGATGGGTGGCTATAAAAATCAATCAATCAAACAAATAAAATTGCAACTGATCTTTGCATGAATTACTATTGATGTATATCCTGGTCCAAGGCCCCAAATACTATCTGTTGCTAAAAAAGGAACTGAGTGGCTGGTGTATTCAAGATCTTTTTGCTATGCTAATTCCCTTTTGCTATCTCAACAATTGCTCAAATTGAAAACATAACAAACTAAATTATGTTTGTTCCTTATTGGTTTTGAATGTAAACATAGTATAAATTCTTTATTTCAATTATGAATATATATCTATTTCAATTGTTTTTTTTTTAGAAAACTGTACTTTTTCATCCAATGTATTTTGGATTTGCCCTTGAATTTCATCCCTAAGAAAAATAGCAATTATTATGCTAGGCAGTTTTGTACTGTACATTTTGCACAAAATTTTATAGATTTTGCCTTCAAGAAAAGATAATAACATTAGGGTTTATACTTTAGTAAGACCAAATACAGAGAAAATAAGGATTAACGAATGGTCTCTTCCATTTCTACTACCCAAAAGTCAATTCCTACTTCCTACTTATCTCTCTTGATCATGTTATGTTCATTTATAAGACGGAATCTAATCCAAAAAGTAACTACAAAATCTGATCACTGAAATATTGCTGATTTATTAAATGTTCTGACTTTTACAAACAAAACAGGATAAACAATTACTCAAGTAAACAGTAAAATAAATTGTTTATACATTTAAAGTTTTGTACATATAAAACTTGAATATGAAGTAATGCTTAACGATTAATAAATGTTTTCATTCTGTTTCTTGTCACAAAAGAAAAACATAATTACAGTATAAGAGAATTGAAAGTGGGATACAATAAGCCTTGTTTAATCTTACTCATCCAAATGTAATTTTCTTTAATTTCATGACAATTTTGGCATTTGAATTAGTTACTACCAACAATTTCAAAACAAAACATTTTCATTCCTTCCTTCATATTTTTTACCTCTATGATATCTGATGTTATCTTGTTGCCTAAGCCAACAATCAACCACTTCAGTACTGCTATTTTAGCATCCATCATAGCTAGCTGTTGAAAGACTACTATGAAATACTCTGCATCATTTCGTTGACCTCTTTACCAGCTGGAGTTCACACATATCTTCATTTAACAGCTTTAATATTTTGTTTAATCCAAGGAACAGACATATGCAAAACTACAGATATTCTAGGAAACAAAAGCAATTGTAAGACATGTGCAGTCCTTTCAGTGGCTGATACATAGCATAATACTGCGGATATGTTATATAGCTGATACAATACTTAATTCAAGAAGGTTATTCTATCTGAAAAAATGTGTTTCGCTTGGTAAACCTTCATAGGTGAGTTGAACAAAATACTGATAATTAAGCATCCCTCTTTGTGGACTTAAAAACAGTTATCGGAAAATACATTCCACTTTATCTCAATAAAGTCTTGCTTGATGGTGAAATGGGCAGCATATAAATTTAATTAATAAATAAAAAATAACAGAAGTTTAATTATCAGAAGGAGTGAATGGATCATAATTCTTCCCACAGGGTTTCCCCTCTTAAATATTAATTCTATTACCCTTAATAATCAGTGTGTTAAATAGTAAGCATGTCCAGTAGGACTATCTTGGTGTGAAGAAAATAGCTTCAAAAATAAGCATTTTTGAGATTCAAAAATGTGAACAATGTTCAGGTAACTGGATCTCAAACTACAGTGTTAAAATTATAGCAAGCATCACTGACTATATAAGAATCTCCATTATAAAACAATACAGCAAACATTTTCCAACTTAAGCAATAGCTAATTACTACAGATATTAATCAAGGTGTTTATCTTTACTTTCTCATATCTGACAAAGTGAAACAGTTTTATTCTGCTACTAATTGGTTTCTATGATCAAATTAAATTGAAGGTTAAAAAAAATCCCACAAGGATCTTTATTAATTAAAGCTAATCAGTCTTATTAGTTAATATGGATGGGTACACAGAGAAAAATGAGTGTCTATATAACCAGGGGTGGGATCCTACCGGTTCAGCCTGGTTCTATAGAACCTGTAGCGGCAAAAAGCAGCTGACACCGAATTGGTTCGGTGTTTAGCCCACCCAGGCTCTAGGCTGTCCTTTATTCCCTGCTTTTCCCTTCTCAGTTGCTTTACATGGCATAGCTGAGGTTGAAAAAGCAGGAAACAAGAGGATTTTCAAATGCTGCACACCCGCACGCACTTGTCAGCTGTCCAGGCGGCACAGCTGATGATTTCTTGCAAACGCACGCAAGTGTTATGATTGTCTGCAGTTCGGAGAACTCACAAATCGCTCCACTGGCTGGCCCCTCCCCTCCCTTTCCACTCACTCCTTACCTGGCATGCGAACCATCCAACTTGCCTGGTTTGGTAAGTTGCTATTTTTCCTTCTTTTTTTCCCTGACCATCAGCTGTTCTGCTCTGCCGGGAGATTTAGATTAGCTTGAAAGCAGGAAATCCTTGGATTTCTTGCTTTCTAGCTAATCTAAAAGCAGAGCTGAACCTTCCTTAGGACTGAAGCTTTTCAGTGCAGACCAGGTAGCCGATTGCAGATTGATAGATCTCTAAGTGAATCTGCGATTCTGTGAGCAATTCAATCTGCCTGCCTGCTTTGCCTGCTTTGGGGTAAAAGCTCTTTTTTAAATAAAAAATTCAATATTTACATACATGGTCTGTTGTGAGTTAATTTTGTGAATTTGCTTGCTAGCAAATTTTATGTGACAGACTCAGGTAGCCGATTGCAGAAAAATAGATCTCTAAGTGAATCTGTAATTCTGTGAGCAACTCAATCTGCCTGCCTGCTTTGCCTGCTTTTGGGTAAAAGTTGCTCTTTTTTAATATAAAAAATCAATATTTACATATTTATAATATTTACATACAAGCCATGCCTACCCAGTCACATGACCACCAAGCCCTGCCCAGTCAGCAAGCCACGCCTACCCAGTCACATGACCACCAAGCCACACCCACAAATTAGGCTACACCCACAGAACCAGTTGTTAAGAAATCTGAATCCCACCCCTGCATATAACTAACACGTGTAAAAATACACCTCCTCTCTTTGAATAGTCATTTTGTTAATTTTTCTTTAAAATGTCACGTGAAAACTGACCCATACATTACATTGAACAGTTCATTAAAATTGTATTTTCTGGATAACCTAGAAGATAAAGCTCCTATGAAGAACAATCACACATCAGTTTGTGCTTTAAAATCTTAGTTTAGATTTACTGACAGATATGTAAAAAGAGAGACAGTAGATGTATCTACTTCTATTAGGGTTAATGTACCTATTTTCTTATAAATTATTGGTTACTTTAAAAATGAAAAGTAAAATTTCATCTTCACCATATTTATTGACATAATGGTTAAAGTTCCTGTCTCCCACAGACCATAGTCAAAAAATTTCACTTTTTTTAGATTTTAGATGAAAGTTGTTATATAATTTTTGTAAATTAAAATATTAATAAAACTAATTTAAAAAATCTAACACAAAAAATGTTAGTTACCATGGAAAAGGAAATGTATAGTAGGTTGCACTTTAAAATCCAAAATTTTCACACTTGACAAAGAAGTCCCAGTATTTTTCTCCTGTATGCCATGGCAAAAATTCTTCATCTGTAATTAACCTTATTTTGTTGAAGTGTAGAAAACAGGGTGTTTTTGAAGAATTAGCCTGACAGGATGAGTCTATTAAAACATGAAACACACACTAAATTAAACTATCAAGCTTTAAATTTAAAATGCCCATAAGAGATCTCGTTCCTGCAGTGAGCAAGACAAATTTGCAGTCAATTCTATAGTCTCTATAGATTCCATAAATTTCAACCACAAGTCCATTAATCATGTTCATTTATCCTTATTAGGCTAACCAAGTCCACCATACTCAAGGTGAAGGGATGAAGTAAATTGTACTGTATGTATGCATGGTCATTTTCTTGAAATGCATGCAAATGTTTTATGAAAATTCATTTAATTTCTTAGTAAATATTGAATAGTTCTGTAATATAGATTAGTCTATCATATAATGCTAACCCAAAATACTTAATGAACGTTTATCCAAATTTCATTTTGCATTAGTGGTTCCTTTCACACAGACCATTAAATTATGGCATTTGTATAATATGTTTACTCATATTAACTAGATTAAGTTTTTTTCCCCTTTCCTTTTTCTTTTATTCAATCATCTTTCATTCTAGGAGCCTGCCCGGACAAGGCCCTGCAGTTTAGTAAACATAGTTTACTCAACTCAATTACTGGGCTAATATGCACACTGAACTATCCAATATCTAATGTGTAAGGTTCATTATGAAAATGTCAGAAAGCATGCAAAGTTACTGTCTCCCTCCTTCAACAATGACCATTATAACCAACTCTTGCCTTTCCTCTCCTAGACTAAGGGAATCATCAAGTCTTTCTTCTGTTAGTAATAGTAATATATTAAAGCAGAATTTTTCAAAACATCTGTCTTTCTGTCTGTCTGTCCATCTAGTTATTTTCTCTTCTAAAACCAATGAACTTGCTTAAAAGGTAGCCTGAATTCAGATGAATTCAGTGGGAGTTACTTTAAGCACAGATATATAGGACTACCCTGCTAGTTCTACCATGATCACTTTTCTACCTATGGGCATACAAAATGAAAACAGGCAATTGAAGAACAGCAGGGAATAAAGAGCCACATCTAAGTAACTCCTGTGATAAATCAGAGATAGATGGAGACAGCTTCATCTTTTGTCAGTGACCATAGACAGGTGTAGGAAAGACACAAAAAGCAAGTAAAAGGGTGTGGCATATAGATCTTAGTGGCATTGTTTGGTAGCTAATACACTAGTGTGAGTCAGCAGAAGCAAAGAACAAAAAGAACAAAAGCTCAGGAATGGCCCTGGAATACAACTGTGCTGTCACAAGGACTCTTGAGAATGAACAATCCTGCTAGCCAGGACAGTTGTGAGGCAGATGTAGGCAGCCTTCCCATTGGTCAAGCTTTGTATATTCTATAGGTATTGCGAATTAAAGCCCTGGAGGGGAAAATATTCCAGTTCACTCATGAAAGAGAATGAAAAAGAGGAGAGAAAAAGAGCGATACATTACTGTGTTTTAGCAAATATTGCAGAATATGCTTTTGAAAAGACTATGTTAGAAAACCTAGTAAGTGTGTGGGATAGTTTGTTTGTGCTGTTACAAATTCCTGCCCCCAGGAGAGAGGTGAGAATGAAGTCACTTATTTGCACTCTTTTCATATTGGAAATAGTACTTCAGTCAATACATACCAAGCAGATTTTTTTGTTGCAATACTTCTGATTCCTTAGGAACATGCATTTCATTAACAATTGTTGATAATGGCCTTCCACAGTATGTGACCTGAAAACAGCAGCCAATATATTAGTCATCTGAGCTGAAAAAAGCTCTTGAAAAAAAATGTTTCACAATGAGCAAGAGTGTGGATAAAATGTCTCTCTTGGAATCCTAAAAAATAGCTGCATCTTTTGCAACATTCATGTAACTGCCCTTTCAACTAAGGGCAGGCTCGGTTATAAGAGTGAAAATTGGTCATAAGTCACTTTTTTCAGTGTTGCTGTAACTTCAAACTAAACAAATAGTTGTAAATCGAAGGTTACCTGTACAAGTTTTGCAAAATATTGTGGTCATTTTAAAAATATGAAGAGATACTTCATTTACGATTCTGTGGGTTTCAAGGCATCTTTTTCAAGACTTACACTTAGACATTTGGGGTTTTATAGGTCTTTAATGATGAATCAAGAAACATTAAACTTTTCTGGGACTTATGGTTTGAGCTTCTTCAGCGATGGACCGAAATCCACGATCGTGCGTGGTTTCGATCCGTGCTTGCCGCCGGAGTGCCCTGAGCCGGCTGGATTTGGGGCAAAAGCCACCCCGTAGAGGTGGTGAAGAGAGGAGAGACCACCAGTAGTGTCGAGGAGAGCCGCATCTCTCCTCCCCAGCTGGCCATTACTCCCTTTCCCGAAGGCGGTTGCAGTGGTGGTCAGAAATGGCCACCTCAAAGAAGAACTCGACCGGAAAAGATTGTGCAGGAGGAAGATAAGAAGAGAAAGTTTTGACTGACTGGGTTGAACTGAGAAAGCAACAACATAAGGTACCCTGGAATTTGAATTACAAATAATAACTTGTTCCCAAATAAGATTTTTGAAGCTGCAAAGGAGAGAGGGAAGGGGAAAGATTTAGTCTTTTTTTCTTTCCTTCCCCATATTGACAGCTAAGAGACTTAAGTAATAAATTGCTAAAAATTCATTTTTGACATTAATAGGCATTTAAGTTGAAAATAAAATGTCAAAGGGATAATAAAGATTTTTGGATATTTAAAAACTTTTAAAAGAAGGAAAGAAGAGAAAAGGAAAAAAATAAAAGGGTGGGATCTGGAATAATGGAGGAGACCACCTGGAAGTAAAAGGAATTAACAGTGAAACTTTAACAAGATTCCTAAAAGATATACTCTAACTGAAACTTTGTAACAAGATAAATAGAACCCCAGGAAGAGAAAGTGGAAAAAAGAAGCAAGAAGAAACAGCTTTGGATTATTTGGATCATTTGGTGATTTTTGGATTTTTGGTTATTGGATTTAAATGACTAAAATCAATCTGTTTGTTGTTTAAAAGTGTTCAAAATGGCATCACTCTTGGAAGAACCGAAAATTGAACTTAAAAAACAGAAAGAAGATGGACAAGAAGAGGGTTTTTTTTGCGGGCTGGATCTGGCCCCTGAGTTTAACACCCCTGTTCTAGTGCTTTTCTTCACATACTGATTAGCCCACTTCTCTTCTGAAACCTCAATATATCAATCTTTTAATGCCTGAGCTAAAGGAGTGCAAATGCTTTGCCATTTTATGCTATTTTGTTGTCATCTAGGATAACAAATCCTCCTGCTACCAATTCAGTCTTGACCTTCACCCAGGCATCTAGCCTCCTTTGAATAATGTGTAAATATGGTTTATTTCTATGTGTTTATTGATGGCTGCTGTGAATTCTGTTTTGACAATCACAAATGAGACATTCCAGACTGAAATACTTTTTTTTAACATTACTGTAATATCCTAGTACATTGAAGTTTTCATTTTATTGAAATGTAAAACATCTAATAAAAAATCTATTGAAATTGATAACTCGAGCAGTAGATTTGTACCCAAACAACACACTGTTCAATTGAAATTGGATTTTTTTGTATGCTATAAAATAAAAACTTACTACAAAAAAAAAGAACCTGCCTGATCTTCCAGCTTTGCCTTACATTAGAAAGAATTAGGATGGACATTTTCTCTTTTGCAAGAAATCCACCATTCCCTGTTAACCTGCAGTTTATAAGAGCAGTAGTCACCAACTTTGTTAACGAGGCAGGATTGAGTTTGACAAAAGACAAGCAATTTTATCCTGATGTTTCTGTTCTGCCTTAAGATCTAGTGGTCAAGACATTACATCTTTTATAGATGTGCCTTAGATGGCACCTTTACTCCCAAATGGAAGCAGTAGATTATTACCATTATCATCATCATCTCATCATCATACCTTATTGTATACATATTTCCAGTTTACATAGATGTCTTTTCCTAATATTGCCTTTATCCATTGAACTGGATTTTGATAAACTGAATTGTTTCCAGTTTGGACTTTTCCATTTCCAAGAAGGCTAGCTTTATGTTTGGAATCCTGAAAGAAAAAGTGTAGAGTTGTAATTGCAGGAATGTTCCTATCTGATGGCAAACCTCAGAGAAAAGAATGGTTCCAAGCAGATACAACTCAGGCAAATAAAGTTACTCATCTAAAGGAGGATTAGAGAGAGGAAGTAAACATATGTTGGACTTTGACTAGAGATCATTAATTGTGTTAGTTACTATGCTGAACAATAACGAAAGTCAAGCAGAAACCAAAGTTAACCAATGTTGGAGGATAACTAAAAATGTGTATAAATGCAAGACTAGACTCCAATATTGAAGTTCATCATGAATCAGTTGATCATGATCAAACACCTCGACTGCCTCATCATTGCAACAAAAAAGAAAATAGAAACAAACAAAATAATTATAAATTTCCTGAATTTAGCAATAGCACTTAGCACTTATACAGTATAATGTTCCACAGTGCTTTACAGCACTGTCTGACTGATTTACAATGCAACCATATTGGCCCCAACAATCTGGGATATAGCCTAGGTTATTAAAACATGAAGATTTTGATCTAAGTTTGTCAACTGGTTTTGTGTATCAAAGCAGTTCTAATAAGAAAGATTTCTCACATCACCAGTAACAGTGTTATTGCTTGCTTTATTTAAACCAAAATGTCTTGTTTAAAGATACTGAAAGTCAAACTAGGACACATAAGACCAAATACAAAAAAATGCTAATTCTGCATGAATTCAGTAAGGCATTTGACAAAGTAGACCACAATCTCCTTCTTGGTATGCTAGAAAATGTGGAATAGACAACATGACCACCAGATGGATTTGTAGACAAATAGTACTCAATGAGTAATCCTTAATGGTACCAAATCCATATGGAGAGAAGTAAGCCGTGGGGTACCACAAGGCTCTGTCTTAGGCTCAGTACTCTTCAATATCTTCATAAATGACTTAGATGAAGGGATAAAAGCAGAACTCATCAACTTTGCAGATGATACTAAACTAGCAGGAATAGTCAACACTGCAGAAGACAACTCAGGACCCAAAAATATCTTGACTAACTTGGACAATGGGCCTTATCCAACAAAATGAATTTTAATGTGGAGAAAAGAAAAGCTATATGTTTAGGCAGGAAAATCAAAGGTATAAGTCAGACGTGAAATTCAAAATTTTTCCCTACCAGCTCTGTGGGCGTGGCTTGGTGAGACTCAGCTTCTAAAAGGAAGAAGGCGGGCGAGTGTAGGCAACCGATTCAAATCGTCCTTACCCCCTCTCCAAACCAATTCAAATCATTCCTACCACCTCTCCCGAGGTAATATGAGGTGGTTGAATTTCACCCCTGGTATAAGTACAGATTAAGTGAGACCCAGCTTAAAAACAGTAACTGTGAGAAGGACTTGGAGTCCTAGTGGACAATCACTTGAATATGAGCCAGCAGTGTGCAGCAGCCACCAAAAACCACTAATACAATCTTGGGTTGTATAAACATAGGCATAGAATCAAGTTCACATGAAGTGCTGCTTTACAAAACCCTAGTAAGACCACACCTGGAATACTGCAACTGATTTTGGTCACCATACTATAAAAAAGATGCTGAGACTTAGAAAAGGTTCAGAGAAAAGCAACAAAGATAATCAAAAGCCTGTAGACTAAACAGTATGAAGAACAGCTGCAGGTTTTGTGTCTGGCTAGTCTAAAGAAAAGAAGAATTAGGGATGACATGATAGCAGTATTCCAGTATTTGAGAGGCTGCCACAAAGAAGAGGGAGTCAAATTATTCTCCAAAGCGCCAGAGGGCAGGACAAGAAGCAATGATTGGAAACTAATCAAAGACAGAAGCAACCTGGAATTAAGGAAAAACTTCCTAACAGTGAGGACAATTAACCAGTGGAACAGGTTGCCTTCAGAAATTATGGGCACTCCATCACTGGAATTTTTTAAGAAGAGATTAGACAGTCATTTATCTGAAATGGTACATGGTAAATGGTTCTCTTGCTTGAGCAGGGTCCCTTCCAGCTCTATTCTATTCTATTGACTAAGGTCCCTTCCAGCTCTATTCTATTCTATTCAATGCAAAAAGATAAATACAGGTACAGCCTTATCTCGAGGATCCTCTTAACTACTTAGTTGCTTGGTACTGTAGGTAATAGTAGCAGATATCACCAGCTATATAAAATTTATCTGGTATTTATCAGGAATGAATATGATAGGGAATTTCCTGTGAAGGACTTAAGGCAATAGACTGCCCACTGGTACACAAAACTCATGTTTCTGAGACTACGTGCATAGAAAATATGAATTTTTATTATATAGGGTATAAGTACTCTGTGCAATTTATTATCACAAGACATGGTGATGAGTGCTGATTTAGACAGCCTTACATTCATGAAGACAGGTCTGTTCAAACTAGTCTTGGTAGTCTCAGTCTTATCTCTAAGCTGGGAAGATATTATATTAGCTAAAGGAGCAGAAAATTGGGAGTGTGTAAATCTTCATCTCCTGCTTAAGAATTCTGTTGAGGCATGGCTGTTGGGAAAAATAAAATCATTTTTGGTTTAATTTTTTAGGTCTATTCAAATGGTCTTACATACCATATCAAACTTTGTTGTCAGTTTTTCCACATTTTTCAAGATCGAGGAAAATGCACACCATGTAATTAATAGATACATATTAGCCATTTTTAAAATATATGGGACAATGATTTCCTAGAGCTGCAGTGGCACAGTGGTTAGAATGCAGTACCGAATGCTACTTCTGCTGATGACCGGCTGCCAGCAGTTCGGCAGTTTGAATCTCACCAGCTCAAGGTTGTCTCAGCCTTCCATCCTTCCGAGGTCGGTAAAATGAGGATTCAAATCATTGGGGGCAATATGCTGACTCTTTAAACCGCTTAGAGAGGACTGTAAAGCACTGTGAAGCGGTATATAAGTCTAAGTGCTAGTGCTATTACTGAAAATGGAGGAAATGAAAAGGGTCCACTGGAACCAACTGTAAAAACCTCATGTTATCATTAGAATCAAGCCAACCCAATCAAAAGACAATATAGCTTCTCTCAACTCTTATTTTTAGCATCAGGACAAAGAGAAGAAACTGAAATTCTATAACAGAGTTCCTAAATCTTTTAAAGAAATTAAGATAGCATAACCAATTAATTTGACAAGGCTTTTCCAAAGAGGCTCAATCAAGTTTCTTTGCTGGAGTTAAAAAACACTACAATATTATTTTTATTTATAACGTAAGCATATTTTCCCCAATGATCTGGCTCCTCATTTTACTGATTCTGGAAGGATAGAAGACTGAGTCAACCTTGAGCCATCAGGATTGAATTCCAGGATGTAAACAGTTAGCCTGCAGTACTGCATTCTAACCACTGTACCACCAGGGCTCATTCTTCTGTAAAAACTGGTGCTTTTTCATTGTAGAAAACTTAATCATTAAGGAAATTTTTAATAATTATATAGAACTTTGGTAGAATGCAATATTTATTGTTAAGATTTTAAACTATGTATTAATATGCAAATGAATATTACTTTGCAAATGAATTATTTACCTGCAGTGTGAATTCTAAAACATCATCTCCTGGCTTAATTTTTCCCAGTTCAAGCAGATCTAATAGTTGATTTTTTTTCTTCCTGTTTCTCTTGAAATGTAGGCCTTTCTCAAAATCTTGATTTTTTGAATTCTGGAAAGTATTCTGACTGATCGTGCTTTGTGATGTTACATGAGAAAATGGCCCTGGAGATTCTAAATTAACATTAAGTAAGATTCTTTTACTTGTGGCCATGTTATCTTGATCAGTACTAACAAAGCCACATGCGGATTCTAACTCTACAATTGGTTGTATTGAGGAAGCATTGTTCATATTTGAATATTGTGACAAAAGCATATTCATGCAAACATTCTGACTGTCAGTAGATGGCTGACAGATATTATTATTATCACTTCCAATTGTTGAGTTATTAATCTGCAATCTTGATGTGGCACTTAGGTTCTGGGTTTCTTGTGGTGTCACCAATATACAATCAATTTCTTTTAATTGTTGAGTAGGACAGATAACAGAATTTAGAAGCAATGTTGCTGAATCTGTAGTATCCAAGGACTCTGAATTTGTTACTTCTGCAGTGTTATATCTCTTCACATTGTTTTCAAATACCAAAAGCTGTGGACCATCTTTCTTCTGACTATTAATTTCTCCATTTTCTCCTGATATATCTGGAAATCTGTTTGGATGGTCTTGATTTAAAGAGCTATTTTCCATCTCCCAGACACTCTCATGGCCCATAATAATGTTAGGACATGGAACTGTTTCATCAGAAATTCTGTTTTTTGTATTGCTGTTTTCATAAGAATCAAGTGTGTCTGGGACTTGATTTGATAACTGGAAACCCTCTTTTTTTGCATTTTTAAAATTCTGTATTTTTTTCCATAATTCTTTCTGTTTTCGTGCCATGAGCAAAAGATTCTTTTGTCGGGCTGCAAGGCTTACTAGCTTTTCTCTCAGCACTCCCTGTTTAAAAGATTCCACAGAAGCTCTAAAATCAAATTTTAAAATATTAATTGAGTTAATCAAGAATACAAGATGTACTGCCATGAATAATTTATCCTTGTATGAACAATAATTTTAAATGTAATAAAGTTTTTAAAAAATTCTAAATGTGTTAAGTACTGACCATAGTAGCTAAAATAATCATCTAAGATGCTTATCTAACGTAACACTTTGATATTTTTTCTGGGAACAGGATAGATTATATAAATACAAAATTTATTATAGATGAATTTAGATGATTTTATTATAGATGATTTTATTTTTTATTTCATAATTACATATGTTTTCTTTTTATAACACAACATTCAAAAATACATTTTTTCTCCCACTTACCTATATTTCTTAGCAAGCTCATCTCGTTCAGATTTTTGTCTGGTAAGTGTAGTATTCAAAGAGTTCTGTATTTCAGAAAAGTCCTGGATATACAGATCTATTCAAAATTTATATAATTTTAAGAATGGACATGAATTTTTTTTATCATTTGCTGCAAATGCAGTATAATGCTACAACAACAGAACAGATTGCAAAAAAATTAATCAATATTCTAAACACCATAATGGTTGTAGCCCATTTTTATTCTATAATTTTCCTTACAATTTAATATTTATTTTATATTTTGTGTTCAACATTTAAAAATAAAAATATGAATATGTTAACAATTGTTCAAATTATACATATAATTTTTCTTTTGCAAAAGAATTATAAATTGACTTCAGTGAAGCTTATTTCTGAATAAATATGCATGAGGTTGTGGTATTATTTATTAGAGTTATACAGCACAAATATAGCACATAGCTACAGCTCCTTAAAGCAACTACATCTTTGACCATGATACCCTGGATTTCAAAACTATTTGTTAAACTCTGATGGAAGCTACCGTGTTTCTCATATAATAAGGCCGGGTCTTATTCTTTTTTTGAGCCCGAAAAAACGGCTAGGCCGTCTTTTCGGGGGTGACTTAATTCCCCCCACTTGCATCTTAGGGCGGGCGGCAACAGCTTGGATGTTGACCTTGGCGTTGGTGGGGCACTTTGTATCAGGGTCAACGCAGGCAGCACCATATCAGGGTATGCAACAAAAGTACTTCCTAACAGAAAGCCCCTCCCCTGCCATTTCTCCCCCATTTTGCATGTTTTAATATAGGCCTTAATTTGGGGGGGAGGGGCTTAATTTCATTTCATGCTTATAAAACATGCTGGGACTTCCTATTGGGGGAGGCCGTATTGTTGGAGAAACAGGGTACTTCAGATCAAATGGCCTTAAATTCTGGAGAAAAGTGCCCTACAAAGTTGGGAATTCCTACAAAACCAGATGTTGAAGGTACAGTTACAAACAATTCCAATGAAGAGAAAAATGAGAGACAATCTGAATGACAGGTGTAGATGCATACAGAACTTTCTAAAGTCTTGTAAATAAAAAACATGTATAGGCAAGCAACAGAAGGATCAATAAAAATTCTAACCATGCTACACCACAAGAACAACACAGTGGCCAACAGATTGGAAGAGGTCAATCTACATTCCAATACCAAAAAAAGATTAAAAGTGTGTGCAAACTAACATGCAATATCCTTAATTTCACATGCTAGAAAAATATTGCTTAGATTAATCAAATGTAGGTTACAGCCCTACATAGAAAAAGAGATGCCAGATGTACAAACTGGGTTTAGAAAAAGCAAAAGAATGAAAGATACTATTGCTAATCCACACAAGATAATTGAGGAAAGCAAAGAATATCACAAAGAAGTCACTATGTGCCTCGTTGAGTATATCACACAAAGCAGTGAACAGTGCTCAGAAAAATGGGAACCAGTAACATCTCATTGTCTTCAGGAGAAACTCATATGTGATCAAAATGTCATATGACTTTTTTGTTCAATGGCTTCAATCTCAACACTCCCTGTTATGGTCATAAAGTAAGAATTGTGGTTTGTTAAATGGAGTCCCAGATAAGGAGTATGGGGTGCCTCAAGGGGAAGGGGGAGGCCTGGGAAGGCCAAGTGCATATCATGTACAAATTGCCATGGTATGGGAACCTTCAGCTGCCCACTCTACAGGGATGCTGCAATTCCCCCACCTATCTTCCCCAAACCTCCAGTCTATGCCCTTTTAGCCACTCTGCGCAGTGACCTTCATCCATGACAGTGCTGGAACTGTAGAGGCCTGGGGCCTTTAGCAGTCTCAGCTAGCTGCCACTATCCCCAAGTTCTACTTCAGCTCCAACTCCAGCACTATCACTGCTGCTATAAATGTCACCTCAAACCCACAATGCTGCCTTTTACTGTTCTCCAAGCTGGCCTCTCATTCTTTCCACAAGCCATGTATCTCATATCTTCTCCAAGCCAGCCTTTCATCATCATGCATATTTCATTATTTGACCTCCTCTTCTTTTACCCAAAGACGAACAAAGGACAATCATGTGTTAGGTTGCAAATATAAAGTTGTATCTTTTGTCAAATGACATTTGGAAACATGAATTATTATTTTAATGTCACTGTCAGCTATTACAGATGACAGTGGCTATTGCTAAAAGAGAATTCGTTTGAGAGTGCTTTGAATATTAGATTGAAATGATATTGCCCTTTATTTTGGATAGCACAACATTCTAGGGTGATCCTACAATTCATGTCTGAAGTATTCCTGATGAACAGTAGCAAAATTCTAAAACTAGAGGAGATCTTATATGGGTCTCTGATTCAATTGCTCTATAATTTTGATCTACTTTTAGTGTCCATGAAGCATGTATTAAGCAATCTTCTTTCTGTATACTTGGAAAGCTCAGAGGAAAATCTTTCCAACAATACAGAAAAATAATAGGAACAAACATAGCCTCCACAGCCAACAAATAGCATATAACATAATCGGCCACACAGACAAATCTACAGGATGCTGAATTGGTCAAGTTTCCAACAACTTTTCTCCCAACACCTTGCCAATGTTCCCCACAATTAACCTCATTTGTCACATCAGTCTCTATAATGTGAGGTCCAGCAATTGTTTTGCTAAGGTAAAACTCTGATTACTACAATGTAACTATTATAATCTATCATCAATTTATGGAAAACAAATCTTTCATAAGTTAACTGTGATTCATCCCTACCTGCATCTCTTTGGCATTTTAATTCAAACAGCAACAACCTCTCCTGCTTATTTTCTATGTCCAGCAATGCTTCATTGAGTAATTCATGCTGTCAAAACCAAGCCATTGTTAAGTCTATTAAAGAAAGACAGTTTGCAACTGAAGTAAAAAAATACAAACACACACACTTCTGATTTGAAGGCAAGCAAGTCTTTGGTTATCAAGGACGTTAATATAGCATTTGTCTGTAGCTTTTTAAGGAATCCAAGCAAACTCAACATACAGATTATAAGAGTACAATGAAGATGAAAATGTTAGGAAACAAATAGACACAAAACACCTTTTCACCAGCAATCAACACCCAGATGAGCAGAGATTAACACTAACACAGGGGTGTCAAACTCGTGGCCGGATACGTCATATGCTGGCCACGCCCACCCCAGTTTTAGAGAAGGGGAAAAATCACGATACATCATGTGACAACATGACAATGTGAGTTTGACATCACTGCACTAAGGCAAGAACTGATGACGTTACTTAGTTTGGTAATGAAACAACTGCAACAAAACAACCAAGCTCAGGGAGTACCAAGGATCCTGCATCAACATATTTTAATACACTCCCAATAGCTGCTTTCAAGTGTAAACAAGCTCTTGTGAACTACAATTGTGCCCTTTTGAGAAAGACGCATTGACTAAAGACTAAAACATATAAAGAATGGTTTCTTGAATTGGGTATGTCTAGTTTAATGAAAAGAAGAACTAGGGGGTTACATGATAGTAGTGTTCCGGTATCTCAGGGTTGCAACAAAGAAGAGGGTGTCAAACTATTCTCCAAAGCACCTGAGGGCAGGACAATAAGCAATGGGTGGAAACTGATTAAGGGGAGAAACAACTTAGAACTAAGAAGAAATTTCCTGACATAGAACAATTAATCAGTGGAACAACTTGCCTCCAGAAGTTGTGAATGTTCCAACACTGGAAATTTTAAAGAAGAGATTGGATAATCATTTGTCTGAAATGGTATAGGGTTTCCTGCCTAAGCAGGAGGTTGGACTAGAAGACCTCAAAGGTACCTTCCAACTCTATCCTAAACTAAATTATAGCCTATATTCTGTTATACTGTCTTCCTATGAGGACATAGATCTTTTTCATAACTTCACTTGATAAAATTAGACAAACTAATTTCTTTTATATACAGCTATTCCTGTCAAACCGTTCCTTTAAATATAGCAAAATATTGTTATGCTGTTTGTAATACATGATCCATCTTGATACCCAGAGTAATTTAGTTATACTTTTATGTTTATATTTTACTTGGAACAGAAACTGTTTTAATTACTTCGTTAATCTGCAGAATTCTGGTCAGTGACCATAAAAAAGACTAAATTAAACTACCAAACTTAATTTTTAACTTTGTATCTCATGGGGTTGTTGTTTTATCTGAAGTCTACTTAGATAGATATGTGTTCCTATTTCTGCCTCTGTTACTGGGACCTAACAAGCTTTTATAATTCCTCCTCTTCTTATAATGAGTTCCTTTGCAATAGTGGCTATCTTTAGCAGCTGTTTAAAGGACTGTGACTCTCTTGGGAAATAGCAACTCTATTCCTGCTGTCTTTTAATACTCGGGAGGAAAAATCACAAGGGTTTGCTTTAGAAGAGGAAGGAGGATTTGTTCAAGTTGAACATTTTGTAAGCTTGTTTTAGGGGAGATAGGTTGAAAGGTAGCTTAAAACATAATATTACACAATCTTTGTGCTTAATTCAGGATCCACTGGTATAAATCAGGTAACACGGTTCTACTGTACTATACACTATTGAGCTATTATACTTACTGTGGTAAATTTTTGTCCAGCTAAAACCAGATCTTCCTTTTCTTGGCAATCATAACAAACAGATTTTCTCCTAAGCCTTGATCTGCGCAGCTCTTTTTTCCCTAAATTAAGAACCCATCACAATAACAAAAGACATAGAAATTATTTAAGCCAAATCAATATAATTGGGCTTTCAGTCAATTCCAGATTTATATCTCAAATTATTTTTCTGATGTGAGAATTCAAGAGGATTCTCTTATCTGTTATCTTATGATTTATCTTGTGCCATAAACACCAAATGAAACATACAGCGTGAAAGAAAAAACAGCATAAGCATCTGAATGTCTAGGAAAATTAAAGGTTCTTAATGCTACAATATGTAAAGTACCTAGGAAAATATTCAACTTGTGAGTATGTATGGGAAACTCAATAATTGGTCTTATCACTAAATATAACTTTCTGGTAACTAAATGAACATATATGCTATTTACCACATCCTGTTCAATTGGCAAGCCATTCCTAACACACTATAGATT